TCTTTATATACAGTCAGTGATGGTCTTTATATACAGTCAGTGATCATCTTTATATACAGTCAGTGATCGTCTTTATATACACTCTTTATACATATGTCTATGTTTTGATTTATAGTTGGATGATTACAGTATTTATTGTTCGTATCTACATTTTTTGTTTTGTCACTGATTGTCTTCCATACACATCTACCCCCCCTCCCCCCTTTKTGCCCGGCCTCCCCTGCTAGCTAACAGGCTAACATGCTAGCTGGGCGCTAGCAGCTCGTCAGTTAATTAGTCGAGACGCACCGGCTCCATCACGTCCCGGTGCCGTTAGACCGAACCGAGCCTCCTGAGATCCCGCACAGAACCCACACACACCGCAGCAACCCGCAGCAGCAGCAGCAGCGACCACACGACTGAAGATGATTAAACTGTTTTCACTGAAGCAGCAGAAGAAAGACGAGGAATCTGCTGGAGGAAACCGAACAGGAGCCGGGGGGAAAAAAGCCAGCGCGGCCCAGCTCCGAATACAGAAAGGTAGGCTGGTTCCCCACACCACCGGCCGGTTAGCTGCACGACTAGTTAGCAGTAACCCGCAAGGTGCCCCCCCCAGAGCTCTTCATAAAGCGGGTCTATTTCTAACTCTGGTGAAAAGAGCTAGCGCGCTAACTTTAGCCTGGAGTGGTGCGGGCTAGCAGCTAGCATGTGCTACATTTGAAAATAGACCTTCAGAAGCTAAGCTCTGTCTGGTGGTTAGCATGCTAGCACACAACTAACACCTACTCAAAACACAAGCAAGCTACCAACGATTAGTCACGTCACATGAACAGTGTGGAACAGCATCTCCAGAGCTAACCAGGTGAGTTAACCAGCTAACCAGTGCTAACTCAGTCTTTATTAACACCTGAGGTGACAGGTAGAGTCATGTGATCAGATCTCAACCAGATCAGCTTCTCATTCACTCTACGGACGATATTTACTCTTTACGTTAAACGTGACTGTTTACGTTAAACACTTCAGGTAAGTGGGAATCACTTTCGGCTGAATATGAGGATTTTCCTTCTCGATTCAATTCATCCAACCAAAGAAAATCCTCAGCATCTGTTCTGATAATCAATCACTGGTCATTTCTTGAAGCTTCTAGAATAAAATAAGTTTATTCGATCATTGATCGACTCTTGAATATTGATCACCTATGAGCTGAACTGATGGAAAGTGTTTTTCTTTTTCCTGTGTCAGACATCAATGAGTTGAACCTGCCAAAGACGTGTGAGATCAACTTCCCTGATGACGATGACCTCCTCAACTTCAGACTCATCATCTCACCAGACGAGGTGCGTTGCTTCACTTCCTGTTTTCCACCAATCAGCTGTGAGAAGCAGAGCTTTTATTTACATTCATCTGATCAATATTCTGACCATTGAAGGATCATCCTCATCACACCCTGAAAATACTTCTTCAATGTAGTACACCTGTACTTCACCTGTACTTCACCTGTAGTACACTGCTGTCATGGTAATGATGATGAACAGTAAACGTTTGTCTTTGTCTCACAGGGTTTTTACAAAGGAGGAAAGTTCGTCTTCAGCTTTAAGGTGAGAAACACCTGTCTCACTGACTGTATATAAAGACGATCACTGACTGTATATAAAGATGATCACTGACTGTATATAAAGA